AGAAAATTTAAAAATTTTTCTGGTGGAAAATTATACCAATCAAACACACTTGAAATCATTTTCTCAGCAAAACATTTTCTAGGCAAATCTTTTCCCTGTAAAACATTTTCTTTCCACCCATTTTCCACCCTTACAATCAAATGCACCCTTACAATCAAACAGACCTTAACTGAGCTTACGGTTTTCCCTTCAAATTTGCAAGAAACGTTTTTTTCTTGAGAGGCACTACACTTACAGTCATTAGAGGGTTGTAAATTAATTAATTTGTGGGGCCCACACTAATTAGAGAGTGTTGTAAAATTTACAGCCCTCTAATGACTGTACAAGTGAGTTTTTTGTTTTTTCTTACCCAAATCAAAATTCAATTTTTTCAATTCTTTACACTGGGCCCTAACCAATTTCTTCTCCTCTACAAATTGATTTCCATCGAATTTGTGGGGTCCACACTAATTAGAGAGGGGGCTGTAATTACAGTCCTCTAATGACTGTACAAGTGGGTTTTTTGTTTTTTCTTACCCAAATCAAAATTCAATTTTTCCAATTCTTTACACTGGGCCCTAACCAATTTCTTCTCCCCTACAAATTGATTTCCATCGAAATCAAGAAACAATCTCTCCTTCCAAACCAATATTTCCAAGCAAAAAAGGAATCGAAATCGCCCTCAAATTGAAACTGCTTTGCTTGGGTAGATCCACCTATGCATCCACGCTTGAGAACTGTAATAAATGGCTTCATCTCACTCATCAAGAGCAAGCTCGATTCCACAATTTGCTTTTATGGCCGAAAGCTTCTCACACGGGCATCTTTTGCCTTTGGTTTGCTGCCTTATGAAGCTCCAAATGAGATGGATTCTGTAGGATTTTTGAGTACTGAAATTACAAATAAAGAATTAGATGAAAAAAATTAGCTCATCAAGATATCAAATCTTATCTCAGATATGAAATTGTTGGAAAAACGAATAGGTTGTGGTTTTTTGAGGATGAAGGAAAATGTAAGCTCAATTAATTGTTTTTGTATAATTACTGGAGTTTATTGACACATAGGATTTTTATCTGCCACGTGTAACATTTTGTCCACGGATGGAAACAATTGGGCGATGGAAGGGGAACTTTTTATTTTTGGGTGAACAAGTTATAACTTAAGCTAAATGTTAGTGATGAGTGATTTAATGAACTCCACCTCTGTCTAACATGGTGGTTGGAGAGGTTTAGTTAGTACTAGATAATATTATTAATGAATGGAAAAGAGGATCATAATTTGCAGCTATATGTTGATGAATGAACATCATTCTTGAAGACAGGCTATTCGACCTCCTTGTAACTTTTTTTTGCTAGGTTTTGACAGTTCATTCCCATCTCATACTAGACGCCGTGACTGAATTTCGAAATAAATTGTATTAAACAGGTAATGCCCCTTATGAAGATGTTGACCTTCGACGTAATTTGTTCACTCTTATTTGGAATTGAGCGTGGACCGAAAAGAGACACACTGGTAAAACTATTTGAAGATGCCATCGAAGGAATGGTATCATTGCCAATAAATTTGCCTTTTACAACCTTCAACAGAAGCCTAAAGGCAAGGGAGAAAATTAAAAGCATTATCATAGAACTTATACACGACAAGAGGAAAAAATTGGAGAAAATTGGCATTTGTTCTAATGAAGATCTCATTATGTCCTTGATTAGAATGAAAGACCAATCCAGCGATTCATCTGTGCTGTCGGACGAAGATATTGTGGACAACATTTTTCTCGTTATGCTTGCAGGATACGAAACAACTTCTATTCTCCTTACTTTCGTGATCAAGCTTTTGGCCGAAGATCAAACTGTTTATAACCATGTCCTTAAAGGTATGGTCTAATTAACATTAATCTTTTTCTTCAAATTTCTGAGTATAAGTTGAATGCTAAGCTTTTAGACGTGATAATTCAAGAGAATCGAATGCAATGTATTTGAAGATTATGAGATGGATCTGTGTTTTGTGAGGCAGAGCAAGAGGAGATATCAAAGGGAAAGGCACTTGGGGAGCTTCTGACATGGGATGATCTAGCCAAGATGAAGTACACATGGAAAGTAGCAACCGAGTCACTAAGGATGAATCCGCCAGTGTTCTTCAGCTTTAGGACAGTCCTCCAAGATATTGAATATGGAGAATATATAATTCCTAAAGGATGGCAGGTATAATAACAAAGGCCATATTTGATTCATGTTTGATATGCAGAACTAGATAGTAACGAGATCAGATTACGTTTAGTGTAATATAGTCCACTTAACTTGCGAGAACTTGTTTTGAATGATAACAGGTGATTTGGGCTCCATGCATGACGCACATGGACGAAAACATCTACCCAGAACCGTCGAAATTTGACCCTTTGCGATTAGAAAGCCAAGCAACAAAACCTCCACCTTATAGCTTTATGGCATTTGGAGGGGGACCAAGAATGTGTCCTGGGAATGAATTTGCAAGAATTGAAACTCTGACAATGATTCATAACTTGATAAATGCATATACATGGAAGCTTTCTTTGAAAGATAATTTCTTCGGCAGAAACCCCGTGCCAGTGTTCATTCAAGGATTACCTATGCAGATTGAGCTTAAGAAGTCCAGTTACGAAATGTAAATTGATATTCTTATGTTGGTGGAATTACCTCATTTTTCTTGTCTTCAACTCCTAGTTTGGATTTCTAACGTTGAGATGTCTAAGATCAAAGGAACGAAGGGAAGAATATATGAGGAATCCATTTAATACTAGAAAAATAAATCCTTCTACATTTGCCAATGTTGTTTGAATGAAAACAGCAGAATAGCACCAGCAGCATCTAATTTTACGTGCAAAAATTTCTACGGACTACTGAAAGAACGACGTTATAAATTAACAACTTTAACTGCAAATAAAATAATTGAATAAAGTTGGAGCGCGAGTTCCATGTGTTGAAATTTATGGGCACTTAATGATTTAACATGTATGAATTTAAATAAGTCTCCAACGATTGGGTGCAACTCTTGAAGTGCAATATGTGCATCATAAAGAGTCGTTATCTTTAACTATGATGCAATATGGATCATCTATCATGTTCTAATCCAAAATGGTATGATCTAATAGTTGAAATGAATTTGTGATAAAAGATGCGACAATTGAAAAAATATACACTTGAAATCTATAAAATGAACCCTCCTATTTTCATTTTGATTTCAAATCAATTTCAAATATTAATTTCTAATTCCTTCTCTCTAAATTCTGTCAAAATAATTTTCAATTTATTTTAGTGTTCAATTTTGATACATCTAATTTAGAAAAGTACGGTCAATGTTGGGTTGCCCGACAAAATTAATAGTGTACTATATTAATTTTGAAAGAAAAGTTGCATACAGAAAGACGTATTCATTCGATCCTATTAGTATCAGTGCAGAGACAAAATATATCTCAAGAAGATTTGCAATAGCATACATCGCTTCATCTCATTTCCACCTAATTTTTACATTTTTAAACGGTCATTAATTTGCTCATTTTCATGTAGTACCTTGATTTCGATAAATCGAAACTTTATTTGGCAATTTGCATATGAATAGAATATAGATTGTGCACAAAACAGTTTTCCAACACCATGCAGACAATTCCCACAAAAAAGGATAATACACCAGGATAGTTTTCCAGGCTCTGCTGCTTTCTTTTTCCTTTTCGGCTCGAGTCTACCAAACTTCCAACACTAGAACCGTGGTAACCCAATAAAATAGTAACTCTACCAACAATGCTTGCCCTACTAACGGATCTGGTGGTACTGGTCTGATACTTTTTTTGGAGGCAGCTTACGCAAGATGTACAATACAAGAGCTGAAGGAAGAATCTCGACCAACTGTTTCATATAAGACATGTTACGTAATAAATATGTCAAAACAATTGGCGAGAAAAAGATAAAAAAAAAGGAACAAAGTTGTGTACCATGTAATAGATTAAATTCAGAACTGGATGGTCCATTACATCAAGTGATGCGTCTGAATCAAAAGCAGATAGCGTAACCTGCAGAGAACACAAATTACAAATAATATGTTGAATTAAGCTAGATGTACAGCTTTGACGCCAAGGATGACATCCCTCTAGGTGAAAGGAATTTAGGCAGTGATGGGATAGATGTGTTTAAAATCAATGGTGTAGATTGCTGGCACGTGGAAGAATGTCAAACTTGTTGTCATCCATAATGTACATATAGCATGATTGTAATATATTCTGTTGATCTAAAATATACAGCACCCAGAAGAAAGAAATAAGATGAGTGACATTTCCTCCCCAACAATTCCCTTGTAATTATAAATATACAAATTGTTCTCATTGCAGTCGCACCAAATCTAGTCAGTTGTATACATGAGTTTGCAAGGAGTCCCAAATGTGCATCTCATTTCTCTTTATCAAAATCCCAATAATGGAGACATTAGTAATTCCAACAAATATGTTTGGGCTTGCCATTAAGGCTATTGGACAAATCTTGTCCATTATAGGTAGTTAATAATAATTTATTTTATTTTTTTATCTAAGTTCCTGCATGAAGGTACAGAAAAACCAGACAACTTGGATTTGAGATTTTATATTAGGCGAACAACTGTTTCTTAAAAAACTGCATTACCACACACAGTCACAGAATTATGCTCAAACATGAAAACGAAGACTAAAAGTATGTCATTCTAAAGGTGCGTATCGTCTCGGAATTATGCTCCAACCATGGAGACTATGAAAACTACAGGAGTAAAAGGATGTCTTTCTAAAGGTGAGTATAAGGACTAAAAGGATGCCATTCTAAAGGTGAGTACAAGATGATACATACATTTTATATGATGAGGGAAGGGAGATATTTTCCTTGGCTCCACCCCAGCTCCCTTCCCCTCTCTTCTGGAAGCAAGAACAATAAAAACACAATGCATTCATTATGTGAATGGTGCATAAAGATTAAGACAACGGAGCTTTCTATATTTGTAGAAGCACGGAGATTCTATTCGCACAGTTGATACCACCAGGAGATGAGCGAAGAGATCAAATTTATTCAACTCATGAATGCCAAATTTTAAACAGCCACTAACTTGCATAAATGTAATAAGTAAAAGGCAATTTTGACCTTACCACCAAGCATCTTATTAGGAAACAAATGAAGCATATGGCCGTCACAGATCCGACCTGAAATAATAAGTTCCAATCAGATTAGTTTACAAGAATGAGGATATAGACAAAAGTGACAGGAGGGTACATTTCATAAATTATTGTTTCATTTTCAAAGCAGATGACTGCAGTCAAACTGATGGAGTTCCTAGGCCAGTAGGCCCGTAAATGTTCTTCACATGGTTAGTCATGAGAATTTATAGCATGGCAATCAATTTCCATGAAGTTCCCATTTTGAATGCATCATCTAGCTGATAGGTATTATCTACTTTAATCACCAGATTTGGAAATCATCACTTCAAGTAAGTCTGCTAATCACGTTTTTTTTTTTTTTTACATTTTGTTTGACATAGAGAAAGTTTGCTACCTCCAAATCCAAGTTCTGCTACTGCACCAATTTTCTGTTGAGGTAATGATGAGATACATAAATATATGGTTAAGTTTTCCCCACCCATTGCTAGGCAAGGAAATCGAGATGAACTTCAAACGTTAAAAGTTATGTCATTTTGAATCCTACCCCATTATGGCATAGAATACACATGTCATTTATAGTAAACACAGTAAGTGGTGAAATATTCAAACAACAGCAAGCCCAAGACACAAGTACAATAGCATACTGGATATGCATCTAGCTCTAACTAAAATACTATTAGTAAAACATTAACCTCGTGAAGCTTCTTTCTCCTTCCTTTGGACTCAATGGGAAAGCGTCTCAGCATGAAAAATAACCTAGCAAGGGAGGGGCACCAAATTGACTCTCAATAAGGGGAGAAAATGATGCAAATTCACATCCTTAAATCAGTTTGAAGAATTAATATAGCTTAAGATAATAAAAGCAACCAATATGACAATTTTCAGATATTCACCTTCCGCCATACAGCAAGAAACCTAATGCAGCTATAAATGATACCACTGTAAAGTCCAAAGAAAATGAGCAAGCTTAGCCAAGTCCAAAAAACTAGTTTCTGGAATACTAAGAGAGTGAAAAGTTTCAGCCTTGCATAACTGAAAATTGAAAATGAGAAATAAATAGAATGAGATCAACCTGCAATAAATATCTTGCCAAGAAATTCCGCAGCACTGTTGTCATCCATCCAGAGGTATACCCAGATACAGACCTGATGTCAACACCATTTTTCTTGTAAGAGTCTACATATTTATGAAAAATGAAAAGACAAGTCTATAAGACCATTTTCTTATATTATGCCATCCAACGAGACATTTTATCACCAATGAGGGTAGAATAACAGAAAAATTAGTGACTATATGACCAATAATTGTTGAGCAACTAAATCTACTTAGTTTTTTAATTAGACAGCCTTCAAATAAGAGCACGACATCGCAAGGTGGGGAATGAATGATCGGTCTTTCTTCTTGAAAATTAGAAGCACGTAGTACTTGAGTTCACGACCCTATCATAAAGCAAGATATTTAATTTAGAAATCTCCTGCTGAGAAGATCTTGTTATCTGATAAGTTTAAAACTCCGATCCAGAATTCTATCTACCACACTTCCTTGATGGCACTGATTATGAGGAAATAGATGCCGAGTTCTAGCTAATTAAAACTCATAGATCCAAGGTCTGATAGCTAAAAGGAGACAAAGGAAGCTTCTATTCTGGTGCAGACAAAACAATTCACCTACAATATTTGAAATTCTGTTTCAAAAAAGCATCCATGAGCATGGTTCAAGCCAGAACAGATGATATCTTTTACAGTAGTACCATGACCATACATTAGAAAAACAGGTACAAAGACAACCAAAAACTAAGCGATAGTATAAATATGTCCTTGTTGCAGTATAGAAGGAAGTGTAATAGACCTGTATGAAGTATATTCCACCATTGATTGAAAAGTACAAAATTCTAAGTTTATCTGTTGGTAAACTTCTAGCCTGCCCAATAATAAGGATGAGTGAGTTAGAGATAGCTCATGTTACATGATTGCATTCACAAGAATGCATAATTGGCTTGGTGAGGTATTTTTTCTAGAACTTTGAAATACCTCTAACTGCATTCACACTTCATTTGCAAGATATTTATATGAGGATTAGCTACTTACCTGGTGATATATTTCAGCCCAAAAAAGGACAAGAAGTGTGTATGTAGAGAAAAACAGAAGCCCAGGAAGATCCAACACTAACATAGTCAGCACCTGATTTAAATAAACCAAAGTTGATTACATTGACTAGCATTTAAGCATGGTATTCACCATATAATGATATGAAATAGTTCATTTTTTAACCTCAAGGAAACCACTTTGTGCCAGAAAAATTATAATGCAGAATACAACACTTGTCTTACTGTTAAAATTGTGCATATTCCAACTCATGTTCTGGTTCATTAGAAGTGCAATTGAAATTTGACTTACATAAGACTTCAAATAGAACTGAAGAAATTATTATGAAGAAAGTTGAAATGTAACTCGTGTACGATCAGTATTTTGTGGGCATCATTTCAACAGTTAACAAATATATATCTCAACAGAAGTAATGATATAAGAAAATAAAAACCAGAACACCATTTCATCAGCAGATCACTAAACAGGCTGACGATTACAAGAGTGTTAAAAATGACCCATTAAATTTGTATTACTATCCTAGAAGCATCAATTTCATGTATTAATATCCTAGAAGTAACAACCACAGACACAATACAAACAGATGGGAGCACAAGGAAATCTCACCAGGCCCCAACAGTCAACGGTAATATGAGCTTAATTGATCAACCCCTATGACGTAGCCCATTCCATTTGACTAAGAAAAGTAATAGTAAAGTGACTAAGATCCAAAGAAGAAAAATTAAGCAAGAAGGTGAAGGTAATTAAAAATATGACAGTAATTTCTGTCTCAAAATTTCTATCTTTTGTAATTCCTAACATTGCCTGGTAATACGCCTATTCTGCATCATTTTGAAACTCATGAATCTATACACCAGGCTGAGACTAAGAAGCTTCAAGCAGAAACAAGAATTGGGTGGAAGTAAAAGAGAACATAGAGAATTTCAACCATGATTCAGCAAAAACTGTTGCCATATTATGCACTAACAGCTTTTAAGAATAGTGAAGCTTACCCTGGGATGCAAAAGAAAAACCACCTTGTGAAATCCAAACATGATAGCACGCACTGCAGCAAGTATCTTTACAATCAAAAATCAATGATTGAAACATGAGCATAAAATAAGATATATATTTAAGTGATTCTTGGTTTTACCTCCATTTACAAAGAAGTTCATGAGGAGGAAAACCTTTTGCGTTGTCCAACCATACTCAGGCACTCTTAGTTCAATTCTTAGTAATTGAATCTGCGTGTAATAATGGATGCTCAATAAAGTTCTCACTACCAATTCTCATGTAATTTCATAATCAGGAAACATATTTATAAGAAGTAAATGGAAAAAAGAAATAAAGAAAATAACTAATACGAATTAAAGGCTTTTTTCTTCTTTTGCTTTTTTGAGGATGCTTTTTCTAATTTTATTCATGACACTTGAAAGTAAAGCATATGATGGAGGGAGCTTATAAGATTGTATAACCTCACAAACAGTCTAAGGTTGTATAATCAAATTAAAAATTAGCATTTGAACATGTTAATTGGCCTTGCAAAACATTTTGTGGAATCATGTGTTACCAGGCAAGGACCAGGCGGATGGGCATTATGCAGGGTTCCTTGGTCAGTCAATTGAAAGTGATAGTGTGATTCCGCATTATACACATTCTTAGATTCGCATCTGTTTCTTTTAGTTTTTTAGAGTTGCAATACCTTAGAATGAATAAGAGATTACATTGTCAACACAAAAATAGTTGGCTTGAAGAACTTCCAGAAATGTCCAATGATTGAATTAAATGAGTACATATCCCGATATCAACATGTCAAAGCAGAACACAATATCAACTATACAAAACAAAGCCCACCAATTTCAGTTCTCCTCTGCTGTTACTATGTTTGTAAATTAAGTAATATTCCACTGAAAATACATTCAATTTTCATCTCAAGTAGCATGTACCACAGTTTTGTAACTCAAACTAAGCCTCATTTTGGCAAAATTTACAAATCATTTATAAATGTTCAACTTCATTTTCAACCATACATTCCAATGGATTGCAAATACTATCCACTTATCCACCACTCATTTCTATCCATCTATAAATCCTTCCCAAACAGAGGCTAAATCATCGTTGTAAATAGTGTAAGCCAGTCAGTCTCAGGAAGCAGAGAACAAAATTAGGAATGGCTTTCCCCAAAACATTAGGGTTACAAGAGCGGTTAAAAGAAATCCAAATTCAGAAACTGATTGAAGAAGGATGGTAGGAAGAAGCCATGGAATTATCAAATCAAAACTAGATGGCAAGTTTTTTTTTTTAATAACTAGTGCATGATATGCATACATTTATGTCTAGTTCTGGAAACAACTGACCTGAAATAGACAATTCCACTGCAATTAACCTTTCTTTTCCATTTCATGATTCTATCCCCAAATTCAGATATTCAAATTAACGATCCAAGTCAGACTAGTCAATTCTTACAGCTATCCTAAAAATCACTAGCATAAACATAAAAACTACTACCCGTCACAACTTAACAAATAAAGCTCAGCAAGCTCTTGTATTCAATTTCTCAGCTCCCAAAAGTCCTAGATTCAAGTTGAAAAACACAAATTGAACTCAAGCACATACAAAATTAATAACAATGCCCTCGTATGTTATTTATTACAAGAAAAAGTAGAATAATAGTAATTTTAGTTCCTTACAAGGGCAACGAGGGAAACGAGGCCATAAGTAGCACATAAAGTGAAGAATAATCCGTCTTGCCACTTGACCGATTCATTTATTTCACCCCACCAGTTCGACGACAGTCCTCCTATTCCGATGTCAATCGGCGGAAAGCTCAGTGGCATTCTAGTCATTTCAGCTCAGCTTTCTTCTCTCAAATTAAACTTCTTGTTTATGAATAAGCAGAGAAAATCAAATCGAACAAGAAAGAGACTAGAAACGTTCAGGATATGCACAACTTAAATCATGTATAGATTAAATAGAGAGAAGCAATAATTTAGAGAGAGAGAGAGAGAGAGAGGGGTGGGGGTAATTTTGGCGGGCGAGGACAGTTGAGAGGGGGCGTAAATGGCATTTGTTGGTCTATTTCTAACACGCCAAAGCTTCCATGGGGGGTATTGTCGGAAACTAAAAGATAAGTTTGACATTATGGGTTATGAATATTCTCCCATTTATATATAATAAAATACTAGTAAGGCGCACGTGCAGTGCACTATAATATATTTAGTTATATGATAGCGTAAATATAAAAAAAAAATATTTGTCTTAAACATTAGTTACATTAAACTTAAAACACTTGAAATTATGGCATGTGACAAAAACAATATTAAGAGATTTGATTCAAAGTTTATTTTCTAGACTTTGTGTTTGAAGGTCTCTCTGTTCTTTTTTAAAAAAGACAATGCATAGATGATTAGGTATTTATGCCTTGCTAAAGAGATAATGAAGTTCAACCTAATCCTCATTTTACTAGCTATTGAGGTAAGACATTATGTCTCCTT